GCCAGAAATAGCCCGAAAGCTCAGACAAGTAAAAGTATGATTCCAGTGGTTGCTAAGCCTTTTGCACCTCTATTTACTCCCTCCTAGTTGTGTGGGGGAACTAAAAACCCAGCATGTGCATAGGCCGAGATTACTGGGCAGATTGCGTGATAAAAAATGTGCTATGTCACCGTAGGTTAGTGGGGGTTTTGAATGGAACACGTAAGCGAGAAACAATTACGCATGTCGAGGACACTTGTGTAAGTTAATATCAATGAGCTATGAGAGCTCAGCAAGCAATTCTGAACAAATATTTGTATATTTTGAGCGCCTGCGGTGAATCAAGAGTCCCTCAGAGAAGCGTATTCATTAAGATATGTTCCAGTTTGTGTGGTATGGTGTTTTGCTAAGAGTATTTCAGGTGCACAGGTCAACAAACGCCTGCATTATTTGCACAGACCGGTACGTTGGCCTAGCTCATGGATGACTAACATTAGTTACCCAGTGGGTCAAAATTTCCTTCACGCACATGCGTGCAATTTGGTTAATGCATGCGATAAAACAAGAAACTGCGGGGAAAACAGGCAGTACACGAAAAGGGATGCTCATTAAACTCTACAACTTTCTTATTGTGTTTGGAAAAGTGTAGCAAGATATAGCAGTCGCCGATAGCAAGGGGCTACGGAACTCCGTGTAAACTATTGTACAAGTGGTGAAACCCAGTGCGTTTTAATTTCCTATGCTCCGACGTAAATTGACAGCTTCCCACTTGCATTACTTGTAGACGTATTTTATTCTGGTTTAAATGATTGCCTTGAGTTGGTCTTCAACGTAAGAATGGTCAGATTTATTCCATCTGTTAGATTAGTGAGAACTAAGACCATAATGATAGGTGTTTACATTTTAAGCAAAATATTTCACCTGAAAACACGATTTCGGTGAGTTACGTTATCTAGGTAGTATGAAACTTATCAGGCAATAATTACCTATGTAAAACCGCCCCATATATGCAATATACCTTTTAGTTTGGAAAAGTATAGAGGGTCCAGTTTGAACCAGTATTGATAATATTCTTTCTTAAGTGAAAACTAACATTTTAACGAAATTTCATTCTTCTGAAAATACTACAAAATGCAACAATAGCTCGGTTACAGATAAAACCAAACTTTCTGTTCATGGGGCAAGGTAACCCAAATACAGTAATGCGTGACATTTCCACAGGACGAAAGAAAATTGCAAGTCTACATTTAAAAACACAAAAAACGCATAACCTTTAAATTGCTAAGCTTGCATTTAACTTTAAGGGGTTTTTTTCTCATAACTGTAATTAATGGTGTGAAATTATTGGTATTGGTTCATTGTATCTAAGCTCCCACCTATTTTTAGTCAAGTTTGTCAAAATGCATTCCAATTAGCCGTTTCGACTTTACTCAAATAGGTTCTGGGCAAGCACTATGCTCCAAATCAGCTTTTCTTCCCCCGATGGTGTGAGGATAGTAGAGAAGCCAGCTTCTACGTAGGTTTTCCCGAAAACCCCCTCCCTGCCGGCATAAATCAACAGCTATTAACACCTGGAAAACTCGGCGGAGCCTCCACGGCAGGTAGGTAGTTGCATTCTCCAGAAATTACTGTCTCTTTAATTATGATATGGTAGGAAGGTAAGTTATTTGGACTTGTGAAACATTATATTAGCAGGACTTCTGCTATTTTCATTGCGCATGGTTAATGGGGTCAACAATAAATATTAATTCTGTAAAATTGTCTTGTGGGACGGCCTTGATGTACATATATATTCCATCGCCCGACTGTTCAACGTAATCTGCGGTCAAACATTTAACTCTTATAAGGAGGTTTGGCAGATTTTCTTAATATGAGTTGACCCAATTGTGACGTTTGTAGCTCAGGTGGTTAGAGCGTTGGCTTCCGGTAAAGGCCTTCTCTACTATGCGGGTTCAAATCCCTCTGAAGGCCTTGAATTTATTCACAATTGGGTCAACTGAAATTTAATTCTTAGTTTAATTTTGTTGGAAGTGATCATAAATATTAAATTAAAGAAACTTATATTTGCTACAATGTACGAAATAAAAGAAAATCCTTCAACATAAACTTCTGTTGCTCATGAAACTCATACCAGTGGAGGGAATTTCAACCTTACATTGGTGGAATTCAAACAAAAAGGGAAAGTTGTGTTACTGAAAATGTAAAAGGAGGTTATTGTTATAAGTCAAAGGCAAATAGGACCTCTAAAGACAGTTCTGCCATTAATCCTTCCTTTCAGTGAAACCAAGGACAAATATTGGCGGTTAGCACTTATTTTAACAAAGTTATTCCTAGCTGATGACGGCCAATAGGCCAGAAGCAGCTATTCTAGGAGTGCTTCTGTCTTTGCAGGGATACTACTAGTATAACATAAAATATGTGTTATTGAGACTTAACTAGTATGATATTATCTAATAGCCTTGTGAAAACACATAATCGGTTGGCCCAAACTCGCAGGCATCCATCCAGGATGGGTACATCCTGGAAGACTGATCAGTGTACCATCAACTTCTAAAAATATGTTTCTTGTCAAAAGCCTAAGAGTGTTCTTTCCTGGGTTGCCGTTTGATTCCAAACGAGCCGTGCAAGCTAACTATCGGATTTTCCGAAATTGTCTGCTCCTTTGCACTGATGCTTCCTTGAACCTCAATTCTGATGCTTAAAACTGTTGCTGTTTTCTAGCAGCACATTTTATAGGATGAAGTTGAAATAGACTATGAAGATCTTTACTGGGATAACCGAGGCATTTAATGGACGTTCAGGGCAAGGTTGGTTTAGTTAAATAGGATAATAGAGAAACGATTTCAAACGGGCAAATTGAAATGGAAAATAAATAGCTTCCTGCCATCAATTTTCGAAGGCATGAAGTGTGCCTCCATTTGGGCTCTCTCTATTACACATGCATTTTATTATCACACCTTCACTCATATCTCCACTTTCTTTGTTGGTTTTAGTTTTTGGTACCGTCTCGCTTCCGAACATGTACGCACAAGCGCTCAATAGCGGTGTTGCTTTGAAACGCGCTGTCCTGATTGAGGTCTCAGCTCCGCTCGGATACGTATATGAGACAGTCAACGATGCCCTCAACCGTATCTCTAAGTAAGTCGGCATTTCTGTAAAAGGCCTCAACGTTTTAATCGCCCCTTCAGATTAACTTTAAGCAAAAATGACTAAGCAAACACAGTAGGATTTCAAATTTGAAAATGTCGGAATTCCGGGATATGAATTATAATTTATCTTCTACTCACCGGAATAAACTTGAAGATTTGCTGACTTTTCGCACAGCTGGGCCTACTGTCCTTTGTCAAAGCGAATACTGACTTTTATCGATCAGCGGTTTAAAGTTGCGGCTGTAAGTGTTGGCATTCGATTGATCGATTTTTCCCCGTTCGCTGGC